TTGTACCTCAGCCTGGACTCTTCTTCTGGTATTGTTCCCTGCTATTGGGTTCCACTCCAACAAACTGGGGGACTTCGCTCCCTCCCTAACAAACAATGATGTCCGATGATCTGGATGACATTTGCGATCACCGTACAAGCATCAAATGCTAAAATAAAACACATATGATCACTTGGAGCGTTAACATTCCTATAGGTTGCATAAAAGTTGCACTAATGTGATACAATTTCAATCAGCCAACTTTGTTGATTATATTTGGCGGTAAATACTGCATATGGCTGTGCGCACATTCTGTAGGTGTTGCGTTGGGAAAAGTGACAGGAAAATGTTTTTTTTTTTAATTATTTTTCTATTTATTCACAAATAAATAAAAGTATATTTATCCCAGTGTGCTACCAAATGAAAGCCCCATGTGTTTTTATAATATGTAAGGGCGGACTAGAAAACCTAAAGAGCATATTGTACGGAACCGAGACAAACGCTTTGAGACTCATAGGGAATTAGGGAGAAAAGGGCCTGGGGACTCAAGTGGTTAAAGAACACTGCGGATTTAAAAATGAATTTTGGAATAACATAAACACATTAACACTTGCATAAGAGGTTTTAGTGGTTGGATTTCCGTGTACTCTAACTAGGATTCTGACTGAGAAAATTAAGCCTTTCAATTGTGGGCAGAGAAACAACTAACTCTGTTTAAGTGCTAATGCAGGTTGCAATGCTTTTAAAAGTTCTTTTTTGGTGAAAGGGACTTTGCATGTCGTCACTGTGACCATGCGGATTTCCATTAGGGCTTGGAATTTGACAAAAAAAGAAACAGGGAGTTATTCACTAAAGGGTGAAGGGTTCGGAGAAGGGGACAATCTAGGACAACAAATGCTGAACTGGAAAGTGAGCTGAATTGGAGAATTTTTCCAGTTCACCTATGCTGTCCTAGATTGTCCCCTTCTCCGGCCTTCTCCAAACTCTTCACTCTTTTGTGAATAGCCCCTTTAATATTTCACTGCATTGATATCTCCCTCAAGCGCCACTTTGGCTGAATCCAAATTCCCGACCCTGCCCTCTGGGCTAGTAGTAGGGATGCACCGATATATCAGCCACCGAAACATATCGGGCGAAAATGGCACTTTTGGCAAAATGCCCAAAGTACAATTTCCTGGCCGATACAGCGGTGCATTTGTTCTTTCTCTACTCCCCGCTGGGCGCTGCTCTGTGTCCCAGCGGGGAGGAGAAAAACTGTCACAGGCGACCGAGCGCAGCGGGAGGAGAGCGCTGTGAGCGGCCGGCGTCTTTCCTTCCACATTGCTCAGCCTCCTGTCACAGATCAGAGGAGAGCGGTGTGTTGGGCGGAGACAGCCAGCGCTGTCACAGGAGGCCGAGCTCTCCTCTCCGCACCGCTAGCTCAGCCTCCTGTGACAGCGTGTCAGGATGGAGAGCGGGTACAAGCAGTCAGTGATCGCTGAGTGTTTGTAAATAATTGAGGACCGAGTATGGTTATTACCGTATTTTTCGCTCCATAAGACGCACTTTTTTCCCCCCAAAAGGAGGGGGAAAAAGTGCCTGCGTCTTATGGAGCGAATCCCGACGCCCGAGACATGCAGTTTCGGGCGCCGGGCGAGTAGTAGGAGCCACTGCTTGTTTAACACGAGTGATCTAACGAGATCACTCGTATTAAAGCCGAGCAGCGGCGATCGAGTTCAGCAGCAGGAGCCACTGCTCGTTCAATACGAGTGATCTAATGAGATCACTCGTATTAAAACCGAGCAGCGGCGACGATCGAGATAACCATAGAGCAGACGAAGAATAGACGTTCAAAAAGTTTATAAAAAAATATATAAAAATTAAATATTTTTAAAAAGTTTGAAAAAGATAGAATAAAAAACATTTTCGCTTTCGGCCTGACATCTTTATTCATTTTGGTTTTTACATTTTCATTTTGGTGCACCTCTAGCTAGTAGGGGTATTAAATGTCTAGCTCATATTGTGCAGGGCCATGTCTGTCAAAGGGGATAATCCCTTATTGGGGCAATGGAAGGTTTTGGTCTCGCTAAGGTTGAGAACCAATGATGTAGAGAGCATCCATGCCCCGTATCAGCCAACTCCTTTCATGAATATTTTATACCTCAGCAAGAATGATGAAGTAGCCTGTAATGAAATGTAAAAATACATAGTATACATTATTAAATGTCTATGAATTCATCGCATGCATTATTGAAAGTGTATTTCTTTGCCGGAACTGACAGAATTAATCTGAACTGCGACACGCAAGAGATGGAGATGAGATGAAAAAAAATCATTGTTGTCATTCTAATCTTTTATTTAAAATGTGAGGACATTGGATGAGCCAGGGAGGGGACAGTTCACTGCTGGAGAGGCTTTTAACCCTTTTACTGCCATGGGCATAAGGGTTATGTCAGAACAGAACTACATGCAGCAGGCTGGCTCAGTAGCCCTTGCATTGGTGGTCTTCCTTTAGGCTAAGCGACCATGAGATCATAGCAGGGTGCTCCCCCAGCACCTAATTATTCATGAATAGCTGTGATCAGTGGCTGACAAGCCACTGATCACCACCATTCACTATAAATGTGAGTGTCAAATACTTAGATTCAAATTTGATTTGGCTTAAAAGGAATAATAGAATGGGCCCATGTATATATAGATTTTAAACCAGACCTCGTGCTGATGAATGCATGGAGCTTTGCAATAGACAAGACATCCTTGTGCTTTGTCCTTGAAATCTGAAGCTATGTCAGAATTTGAAGAGAACTGTAAGAGTTAGCAGCTGTTCAAACATGTCAGGTCAAGCCGTATAAAGAAAGTATAGGAGTCGTGACGTCAGAAATGAGTTTAGAATAGTACAAAGTATATGACCTTATAGGATTAGCCAATAGTTAACGTCGATTTTGGAATATAAGGGAGAGCACACACACAGAAGACGACTCCACACAGAAGAGACGCGCCCCATTTGAAGAAAAGACTTAGTTGTTTCACCTGCTAAGACTATTTTTGGCTGAAACCGACTCAAGCCTGAGAGACAAGCAGACCAGGTGATATACTTTTAAGCTCAACATTAACTAAGAACTATATACTTTGAATTATCCATTTGTATATTACACTTTTGCTATATCATTGTATGCTGTTGGCTTTATTCTATACAATTAAAGTTTTTCATTCAACAACTGGACATTCTTTGATGAAGATTCTAATCACCTTATGACGCTTAAATCGTAAGTGTCATTATTTTCTAACAGTGAGCTCCTGCCCTGGTAGGGGGAGGTGCACACATTACTGGGGAAGGGGGTGGCAGGTGTTGGTGGTGCACGTTACCGGGTGGAGGGGTGCACAGTACCTCTGGCGTCCCACCCAGCTCAGACATCACTGGTTGCCAGGAGCTGGACAGGATGCCAGCCAGAACATCCTGCTCAACTCCTGGCAACCAGTGATGTAAGTGAGCTGGGTGGGACGCCCAGGTAGCCTAGAGATCTTAGCAACCTGGAACGCTCTGGCCAGAAAGGGGGTGCCAGGCACACCTGCCCCCACGTGACCCAATGAAATGCTGCCTGAGGCAACCACCTCAGGCTGCCTCATTACAGGGACAGCCGTGGTTACACTTGGCATAGACATCTCAATGACAGAACCTTGATTCTTCCAGCCAATCTCTACCATTCCCCCTGAGATAACACACACACGTGGATGTACACTGGGGCGGAAACAAAGACAGGACTCGAAGGGCCGACTATTCAAAGGCTTTATAAGAGTAGGAAATATGCAAAATCTGGTAAAGTGCTGTATACATTTGTGTTGTCCTAGTTATAAATATATTACACGCCTTATTTTTCTTTTCTGATTTCAAGCATCTTATTCAAGTTGATCTGACAGCCGGGAGAGAATGTTGTGTACAAACAGCTTTTCCATGGTGACCACTCTGACTGGCTGTCAGAGTAATCACATGACCAGGAACTATGCTGATTGGCTCTGCTACGGTGCCCCAGCTGTCTAGTGATGCCATGATGATAAGCCGCAGGTGCCCACTTGGAAGAAATACAACTAAACAGCAGTGAGTTATATAAAAGTCCTCCTGATGTGCAGAGAATCAAAGACGATTTACAATAACTAAACACAAATCTTTTTTATTATTATTTTGGATACAACACTTGTCGGGTTTTTTTTTTTGCTATTGGGGAAATTTCTCCAAACTAAAAGAAAAATGCCCTTTTGGACAGCTGTCATCGGAAAATGTCCCCTCTATTCCTGTTCTGGTGACGGTGTATCGGATTTTCCGTTACTTTCAATCCCAGTGAAAATATTCACCAGGAAAACATTACATTTAAAATACATTTAACATATATATATATATATATATATATAAGCTATTAGCATGGCATTCTCGCCACTAGGTGGACCTGACGAGCATAGGAAATTTTGATGCTCCTTGGCTCGCTCCATCTAGTGGCAGGAATGGTGTGGAAACCGCATTCACCCAGCTCTACACTGGGCCAGCGATGGGCAACTCTGGCCCTCCAGCTGTGCTTTAACTACAAATCCCAACATGCCTCTCATACCTGTGACTGTCAGTCTTGCAATGCCTCATGGTATTTGTAGTTCCACAAACATACTCTATCCAAAAAAATACGAGTTTTGGCTGGAGATACACTTTCTGACCTAGTTTCTGTAACCGCTGACAGCGCAGAGCTCAGACTTCCGCAGCCAGACATGTTATTTCATGATTCATTACTGTGCTGAGAACGTAATCACCAGCCAATTAATTCCCGGAGGGACGTGTGTGACCCGGGGTGTGTCTGGCACCGACAATTATCTGCCGTGACTGTGCACTTGTTCAGGCGTGGGGTGCCAGAGCCGGGTCCCCACAAGCCAGCGCCGAGCAGACGCCCCTTACTTCCACATGTACAATGAAAGGAAAGCTGACCTGGTGGACACAGATGGAAGAGACAGATGGATGAGGGAGAGGTCTGTGGACACACAAAGAAGGAGACATTGGGTACCTGGCATAATTTCCACTTCAAAACTGGGCAAGAGATCAGCCAGCACCCCAGTCTTGCCTGGAAGAGAGAGAAGAGAGAGGGAAGAAAGAGAAGGTTAGCAGTCAGAAATCACATGGAGAAGACAGATCATTGCAGTGATTTATCAGGACAGAGGCAAGACGTATGTGATATAAGCTGCAGGCAGATATTAAAGACAGATTAATACAGCGCCGTATTCAATAATACCTCAAGGAATGAGTACCTCAGATGCAAGTGTAAGTAAGACAAGACACAGAGAGCGCCTCCATCGCGTAAAAACTTTTGAATTAAACAAATAAAAACTGGTGAAATAGTACTCACAAAGGTCGAGTAAAAACAGGCATGTAAGGGCCTCCCCGGTAATAGATGATTTACGCGTTTCTGAGGTCACGTCTCCTTCTTCAGAACCAATTTGGAGTTCGAAAAAAACCACGCGGATTGCCAAGCGCTGACACACCGTCTCACCGCCAAGCGCCTACCTCAGTCGACCAATTTGGAGTTCGAAAAAAAATCTGTGTCAGCGGCTGGCTGTCCTCTTCGGGGCTCTGATCACTAGCAGACACTCCGGTTCGGGGGAGCAGAGCTCTTCTCTTCCATGTCACAGAAATGTCAGTGGCAGCCCAGCCGCGGGGCACCCAGACACTTTCCATTACCAACCAATTACCATTTCTGCCACCGACATTTCTGTGACACGGAAGAGAAGGGCTCTGCTCCCCCGAACCGGAGTGTCTGCTAGTGATCAGAGCCCCGAAGAGGACAGCCAGCCGCTGACACAGATTTTTTTCGAACTCCAAATTGGTCGGCTGAGGTAGGCGACACCGTGACCGCTTGGCAATCCGCGTGGTTTCGTGCACGATTGGCGCATGTCACGGATTTCGCAGGTGTGAACCTAGCCTCAGGATGGCGCAAGTGCTTCTTTTTGGGTTTCTCTTCCACATGTCATTCATCACTCTCCATCCCTTATTATGTATTCATTACAAATATTTATATAGCGCCGGCAATTTACACAGTACCTTACAAAAAACAGTTGTGGATGAAGTAAGGAGGGAGGGTTCTAATCCTTGTCACTTTTCCTATTGGGGAGATTTCCCTTCACTTCCTGTCCGATGCTGCAACAGGAAGTTAGAGGAAATCCCAACAAGGTGTCCCCATTGGAAGATTCCCCATCTATTCCTGAACAGGTGACAACCCAAAATTTGGGATTGTCTTTCACTGATAATGGACACCAGGACAAATTCAGAGGGTGAATCTTCCTTACGGGGACACAGACAACAATAAAAACCTGACAGGAGGTCTAATCCCTCTCCACTCTATACAAAAATTTTTAAGTTTCAGCTTCAGTTGCACTTTAAGATATTCTCTCAGACGAAGGTAGGATCAGGACATAGGTAATAGTGATGGGTTCGGGCGTGTTCGCAGCTCCACGTGCCGAGCCCGCCAGGAAGCTGACAGCGCCAATCACAGGCACGGAGAATTTCCCGATCTCTGCACCTGCGGACCGGGATAATGTCTCAGTACCTGTGATTGGCGCTGCGGCGCTGCCAGCTTCCTGGCGGGCTCGGCACGTGGAGCTGCGAACACGCCCGAGCCCATCACTAATAGGTAAGCGTATAGGGTGGCTGGCGGCTGCGAGCTGTTTATGATCTCCGGTGATATTACGAGTGTTGTGTAGCAAAGATATCATTATTTACGGCCTTTAGTACTGAGACCGGACGCCTCCCCTGTGCTTAGTCCTTGCCTGAAGTTACAACAAATGTAGCCAGATGTCGTGCACTGGTGTATTTATGTTGTTTGTTCTGCAGTTGCTGTATCACATGGTTTTGCCTGATGAAGGGGATCCTTTGTGACCCCGAAACGTCATTATAATGCGATCACATGCACGTGCTTCAATAAAATGACGTATTCTTCATTAACTTGGGAGTGCCGGTGTCCTACATTTGTATGTTCGTCCATGTGAATGCGGGGAAAAATCGCTTTGCTCGGGCGTGTCTGGCACCGATAATTATATGCCGTGACTGTGCACTTGTTGGCTTGTGGGGACCCAGCGCCGGGTCCCCACAAGCCAGCGCCGAGCAGACGCCCCTTACTTCCACATGTACAATGAAAGGAAAGCTGACCTGATGGACACAGATGGAAGAGACAGGGGGTTTGCTAGCAATGGCAACGCAAGCGTTTAGAAGTGTTTGTGTACGTACTGTGTACATCGTTGAAGGGCGCACTTTTGTGCACATTTGACACACGTCCGCGATACGCCCTGTGAACGGGGCCTTAGAGGGAGCTCTGGATTCAACTGAATTTAACTTTTCTGCTTAAAGTGGAACTATCCCCTCCTATGCAGGGGTGTCCCTAGCCCTTATGCCACCTAGACTGTGCTGGTGGGGCACGCTGGATAATCTCACTGCCCAGCCCCGGCTTAGGCCGGTGTCCTGACCAGCTCACTGATGTCACTGGCTGCCAAGTGCTAGACGGGGCGCCAGCCAAAGCATCCCACTCAGCTCCTGGCAACCACTGATGTAATTTCTTTGGATCTCATTGGAAGGAGCGAGACGTCACCCCCGATTAGGTGCCACGTTTTATTTTATTTTCCTAAAGCTTTTTTATTTACTGCAGCGTACCGGCATGGAGGGGGATGCCATAGAGGATTTTAGTGCAAGGTCTGCTGTAAAGCCATTTACCCAAAGCCCCTTCCCGGGAGACTTAGGCTGGGCACACACCTTACAACCATCGCAAGACTTCTGTCTTGCGATGGTTGTAAGGTACTTAAAAAAACGTACGATCTGCCTATCTTGCATAGGCAGATCGTACTTGCGATGATCGCAAGCCACGCCCCCTGAGGGGCGGGCTTCCGATGACCGCAATGCCGAACGGGCAGTGTGCGCTTGCGCACACCGGCCCGTATGGCTTTTATCGTACGAACATGCCACAAACCCACCGAACATCGTACGATGCTCGGCGGGTTTTCGAACATGTCCGTAAGTTAAAAGTCGTGCGACCTTACAGTAGCAGAGGTCGCACGGCTTCCACACACCTTCTGATAATCGTATGATCGCGGGATTTCCCACGATTATCGTAAGGTGTGTGGGGATCTTTATCAGCTTACAGAATAAAGGAAACGCTGAGATAAAGAATATTTTCCTGCAGGAATCTCACAAAATGACATCAATCTCACTCAACATTCCATGAAAGATATAAACGAATTAGGTCCAGGCCGAGCTCTACGACAGCGCAAGCTATGCAGGATCCAGACTTCATCATTCAGAAAACGTGATCGGGAAAATTAAGTTGTGTAAATGGTTTATAAACCTCGAGCAATTTTCTATCCATAAAGATTGATGCTGATGACAACTAAGGAGCAAACGCGAGACTATGAAAATTCTGCCATAATATATAACTGATGTCTCCGATGTGCCTCGCAGCACACAGAACACTGCCGTGTAGACCCACAACATCGACATATGTTCAATTATAACACTGTGACGGGTGAACTTTGGGTAGATGTAATAAGAAAACCATTTATTACAGTTATGTGTTCATAATAAAATCTTTGAATGTATACTATATTGCCAAAAGCATTAGGACACCCCTGCAAATCATTGGATTCAGGTGTTCCAATCACCTCCATGGCCACAGGTGTATAAAATCACGCACCTTCGGCATGCAGACGCTTCTACAGACATTTGTAAAAGAATGGGTCGCTCTCAGGAGCTCAGTGACTACAAGCGTGGTACCGTGATAGGTTGTCACCTGTGCAATAAGTCCATCCGTGACATTTCCCTGCTACTAAATATTCCACGGCACTCCGGCTGCTGTGGAACTACAAGTCCCATGAGGCATTGCAAGACTATGACAGCCACAGGTATGACTTCCAGAGGCACAGACATCATGGGATCTGTAGTTCCCGCACAGTTGGAGCGCCTACTCCTGACCTGGATCAAAACTGTTTTCCGTTTGCAGTAGCGATGCCCCAATACTAATATTGGTATCGGTGGCGAGTATGCTCTGATGCCTAGCCCGATACTTCCGGTATCGGGAAGCCGGCCAGCGAGTCATTGTACGCTGCCTGGCTTCCTGATTGGCCGGGAAGCCGGCTCCATGCTCCCTCGGCCAATTATCATTAAAGGCTTCATGCTCCCTCGTCACCTGATGATGCACTGGATCGCATACATGAAGCCGGGCCGCGTTCTGGAACAGGAGGGGGCGTGTCAATGCCATTCATGTCAATGGCACCGCAGACAAGCCCCCCCGCTACAGTACAATCACTTGAAACGCAAGGTACAGGAATGTCCTCCGTTCCAGTGCAGTGCGATCTGAAAAAATGCTGCATGCACTATATTTTCAGATCACACTGCACTGGAACGGAGGACATTCCTGTACCTCGCAATCTGGTGCGGGCGATCGCACTGCGGGTGGGGGCGTGCCTGCGGTGCCATTGACATAAATGGCACCGACACGTTCCCTCCCGCCCCAGAACGTGGCCCGGCTTCATGTATGCAATCCAGTGCGTTCCAGGCGTGATCGGCACCGGGACGCACTGAATACTGTGTGACTGGGCCCTTAACTAGGAATCCTTCCTCCATGTGAAGAGTCCTTTTGGCTGAAGACCCACTACTGGTATATCTCCGGTGAAGGCCACCTCTGCCCAGGATTAGGCTACCGCAGGGGGAGGCAACCTCAGCACTCCAGTTGTCGTAGAACTACAAGTCCCATGAGGCATTGACAGCCAAAGACATGACTCCCAGAAGCCCCTACCCCAAGACTACCATATTGACCTCTATGTGATACAAACTTCCTGCTTGGCCAAGTGATGGAGTGGAGGAGAGGTGGGAACACGATGAACATATTATATAACCATCACCTTTATCAGTGAGGAGATGAACGATGATCACCAGCTGCCTTCCTATGTGTGATATCTGCTTCTATCTCACTGCACAAATCATTCATCTCACCTCCTACAAACACGCCAAGTGTCCCAGATAGCGGGGCTGTACCGCGCGCGTGTGTGCTCTTTAATATTACATGAAGGAGGGTCATTTGAGGTC